GTTAGAAATCATTTTCCCTTAGAAGGTCAAGACACTGCTTCACTGTCTTCTGGTTTCCAGAACTGCCACTGCCAAATCTCAGGCAATGTTGATTCTTAGTCTTTGTACAAGAACTACTTTATCTCTATCCCTGATATTCTAAAATTTCATGATAAAGGAGTTTTGCATCTTTATAGACCTCTAAAATTTTTTGAAATATATTAAGTATATATGTCATATAAACAACTTAAAAAAAAAAAAAGTTAAGAGCCCCAAACCTGCCACTTGGCTCAGGAGTCAGCAAACTACAGTGAAAAGGCCACGCCTGGCCTGCGGCCTGTTTTTGGCAATAAAGCTTTGTTGGCACACAAACCACAACCGTTAGTTTACCTCTGGTCAGCTACAAGGTTGGAGCCCAGCAGTTGCAACAAAGACCATATGACCCACAAAGGCGTATTTATTATTTGACCTTTTATAGCAAAATGTGTTGGTTCCTCCCCTGGCTTAAGACAAAAAGCAAAACTTTTGGTGTCCCTGGTATGACTCTTCCCAACCAGTCTTTTCTCCCTGGGAGGAAACCATTACCTAAATTTTGTGTTATTTCTTTTTACCTTTGTAGTTTGTATGTATTCCTAAACAAAAAACTACTTAGTTTTTCTAACTTGAACTCTGTATTAATAAAATCATACTGTACAGTATGTCCTTGTGTGACCCAGTTCTTCACTCAGCCTCTAGAACAGAGGCATAATCATGTTGATAGTGCAGTTCATTTTCATTGAACCGATCAATATTCCATTGTGTGACTACACCAGTCTATCAGTTGTTGATAGTCATGAGAACTACTTCCAGGATTTACATAAAACAAACAAAAAGCCACTGTGAACATTTTTGTACATGTATGCCACCATATGTGACCAAGGGGTATGTGTATATATACAAAATGTCACCTAGGAGTAGAATTGCTGAGCGATGGGCATATGTAAATAGTTTTGTAGCACATACCCTTCAAACAATAGTAAATAACATTCTCTAATACATTTTCAATATGACACCTGGCTTTGTCAACCACCAATTTTTTTGCAACCCTACTGTGCCAATCACTTTAGGTTTTGTTTGTTTTTTAGAGACAAGGTCTCACTCTGTTGTCCAGGCTGGAGTGAAGTGGTAGGATCATAATCTACTACAAAGCCATGATCCTGGGCTCAAATAATCTTCCTGCCTCAGCATCCCAAGTAGCTAGGACTACAGGCATGTGCTACCATGCTAATTTTTAATTTTCTTTGTAGAGACAGGGGTCTCACTATATTGCGCAGGCAGGTCTTAAACTCCTGGCCTTAAGCGATCCTCCCACCTTGGCATCCCAAAATGTTGGGATTACAGGTATAAGTCACTGTGCCCAGCCATAATCACTGTAGTTTTAATGTGCTTTTCTATGATTACTAATGTGGTTGAGTATCTTTCCATATAGTTCTTGGCATCTGTATTTCTTCTGTGAAATGCTCATTCATGCCTTTTGCCAATTTTTCCTTTGACAGGCTTGTCTTCTTTTTAATTGTTGTAGTTCTGTACTTATTTCTGATATTAATTTTGTCAGTTTTTTTATACCGCAAATCTCAGCTTGTGACTTTTCAGCCACTGAAAAGTATCTTTTAATGAATGAAAGTTCACAATTTTAATATTTTGTTTTATACAATGTGTATTATGGATCATCTTTAAATAAGCCCTTCTCTACTCCAAAAATCATTGAGGATGATTCTACTTTGTCTTCTAAATGTTTTTAAATTTTGCCTTTTACATTTAAGTTCTTGATCCATTTGGAATTTAGTTTTGTGTGTGTACAATGGAAACTGTCTTCCTTTTCTTTCCCATGTGGACAGCCAATTATTGAAAAGTCCATTGATTCCCCACAGATTCTACAATGCCACCTTTTATAATATAAAGAACCCATATACATGTGATCTGCTTTTGGGCTCTCTATTCTGTTCCAACAGCCTATATGTGTACCCTCATCCCACTACTAGCATCTTAATTACTATAGCTTTATAGAAAGTTTTGACAGCTGGTAAAGCAAGCTTTCACAACCCATTCTTTTTTGTCAAGTATGTTGTGGCTCTTTCTCTGGCTTTTCCATATTAGTTTTAGAATCAGCTTGTCAGGTACTACGTAAAACCCTATTGAGGTTTTGAATAGAATTGTGTACAATTTATACATCATTTTGAAATGAAATAACATCTTCAAGATATTTTCTTATTCATGAACATGGTAGTGCTTTCTGTTCCCTCTATTGAGGACCATAAAAGTTTTCCAGTTTAATATGTTAATATTTAAGTTATGTTAATAGATTTTATAGTATCATCAATCATTTGTTTCCTATTTGAAGATTTTTACCCCTACGTTAACGAGTGACATTGGCTGCTAATTTTTCTTTCTTGTGCTGTCTTTGTGTTGAATGTCAAGGTTATACAAGTGTCACAGGAAAAGCTAGGTTTCATTCCCTCTTGTTCTAGACTCTTAAGGAGTTTTTCTAAGATTGAAATAATCTTTTCCTTGAGATGTTTGAGAAAACACACTTGTAAAACCACCTGGGATGAGTGTTTATCTGGAAAAATATGTAAAGATATTGATTCAATTTCTGTAAGTTAAATAACCTATTCAATTTTTCTATTTCTTCTTGAGTCAACTTTGCTAAATTATTTTTTTCTATTTTGCCTTAGTTTTGAAATACCAGCATAAAAGTTGCTAAGGGTGTTTTCTTACTATTTTAAAAATTTCTGCTGCATCTGTTCTTTGTGTTTGTAGATTTATTCCTTTATTTCATTTTAGTTTTGGGAGGAAGCAGAGATAACTTTGTGTGTTAAATCCATTACATTTATGAGAGCAAAATCACACAGAAGATTCATTCTTCCTTATCTGTAAGACAGAGGTAATTACAGAACCCCTAAGGCTGTTGTAGTAAGAATTAAATGAATTAATATCTGCAAAGTGCTTAAGACAGTGCTTGGCATATAGCAAGGAATCAAAAATATCATGATTAAATGATAGGGAATTCAGTTCCACTGAGATGATGTCTTGTTCTTGTTGACCGAAGTTTAATAATCTAAAGCAATAGTAACTGGTTATGGATTAGACTCTTTCAAAGAGGTGATAATAGATCTGGTTGACAATACACTCATTCTGAAATTCAGTCTGGGTGTCTGTGCCCTGAAATTATGAACTGCACATATGGTGTAAAATAAAATGTAAAACAAAGCAAGAGGTCTAGTATAGGCTATTCTTAACACATAGTGGGCAATAAAAAAACTGAGTTCTTGATGAGCAATCAATAACCAAAGAAAAAATAAAATAATGAAGGAATAATAAAAAACATAAGGAAAACTCTAGTAGTCTCGGAGAGTTTTCATTATTAGGCAGCTTTTATTCATAGGTAAACCCAAAACTGATTTTATCCATAGGTCCTTCGTTAGGGAACTCTCCGCTTATAAGAAGATTTTTCTACCCTATCTAACAGAGGGATACCTATTAGGCATTCTACTCCTAGTCAATTTCTGCATATAAGTTTTGTCTACAAACAAAAACAAAAACAGCAATAAACCCAGCAAACAGATACTGAATTATTTAGGGGAAAGTAACGTGATGCCTGTGATTTACTTTGAAATGCGTAAAAAATAAGACGGATCTCCTGTAATCCCAGGACTTTGGGAGGCCAAGGTGGGTGGATTACTTGAGGTCAGGAATTCGAGACCAGACTGGCCACCATGGCAAAAGACCATCTCTACTAAAAATACACAGAGTAGCTGGGTGTGGTGGTGCATGTGTGTAATCTCAACTACTTGCATGACTGAGGCACAAGAATCACTTGAACCTGGGAGGCAGACGTTGTAGTGAGCCAAGATAGTGCCACTGCACCTCAGCTTAGGTGACAGAATAAGACTCTGTCTCAAAAAAAAAAAAAAAAAAAAAAAGATGGATCAAGGATGCTATGGAAGATGAACAGCTGAATAAATACATGCCAAAGACCTATACAATGTCACCAGTAGAATTTAAAATGAAGTAGATCAGCATTCACTGTAAAATCATTTCGACTTTCTATAATGGCTTCAGAATTTTCATAAAAAAACATTGGGGAAAATGTAAATTCTTATATTTAGCAGGTGAAAAACTGAAATAAAAGGAATATAAAAATATTTAAATTATACACACAGCAAAAGTTATATAGAAAGTTCATTATAATTTATAAGAAAAATATCAAGACACCTATAAAATAAATGCGAAAGGATATTAACAAAATACAAATAAAAAATATAAACCCATGGAAAATATTCAGTCACCTCTAACCAAAGAGGTAATTTTAAAACTAAAGCAAACCTGAAATACCACTGCACATCTACTTTCTTAGCTGAATTCGCGCACGCGTGCGCGCACACATACACATACACACACACACACACACTATTTCCTGGCAAAGCTGCAGTGAAAATGGCATACTCATCTACAGCTGGCAGCCTTCACTGTAAACAAGTACCGCCTGTTTGGGAAGCAATTTGGCAGTCCCTAAGTCATAGTGCTTATCACGTCCTTTGACCTGGCATCCCACTCCTTAGAAGGTAACTGTAACAATCAAAAGAAACCAAAAGATGTTCATTGCAGTATTATCTACTAAAATGATTAAATAATAAACAACCTAAATCGCCATCAAGAGAAGAGTAAATAATGACACATCTGTATCACAAAATACGTAGATATTAAAAATATGATAATACTCAAAGCTTATGTAGAAAACTGCAAAATGTTCATAACACATAATCAAATGGAAAGCTATTTATAATTGACTGTGAGACTACAGGAATAAATGAAATGTGCACTGGCACTGTAAAAAACATGAACAATTAATGAAAATGACATGTTGCCAAATAAGGGGATTGTAGCTGACTCCCTTTTCTAAAATTTTCTTTCATCTTGTTGATGTATCTTTCAATTAAAATTAAATCATTAAAAAACCAGTCTTAAGACTGTCTACTCACAGTGCTGAGTTTGCTGCAAATGATGAGTATCCGGCGTTCGTAGAGCATACTGGCATACAGATGCAACATGTTGTTGACATCCACCGCCACAAAATATTCTGTCAGTTTACTCTCTTCTTCCCCCTGTCCTTTTCTTTCTGTCTGGGAAGCCAAATCCCCATCATGTATAAAATCATGAACCCTCAAGTTGGAAGAGCCCTTAGAGAAGAAGGAGCCTGAGCAATTACATCTTTGTGTGGTGATTACAGTTTACAACTGTGAGGTCACATCCAGCACTGCATTTGTGCCTTAGGTCAGTTCGTAAAGGTGAGCAGAACAGAAATTCTACTTATCTTACAAACGAAGAAACCAAGACTCAGAGAGATTCTCCAAGATGGAACAGTCTAATAAGCAATGAAGACAGGACTGCTGCTCAAATCTTTGGGCCCCAGACCCTAGAACCTTCCTGATGTGCTGTGCCATACGCCTAAGCAAAAGAAAGTACCCAGGGACCAAAATGCTCCTGGCACTGAGCCCATTTCTGCGCAGGAGATGCCACCCATGAAGGCCAGGCGAGCGCCTCTCCTGTCATCACTGCTGGTATCCCCTCCTTCACAGTTTACATTCGCTAAAATGGCTCAGCTGGAATTAAGGCAATTTCGAACATTTACAATTTCCAGGTATTTCACTCAAAAGGGGGAAAAAACAAAAGACAAACAGCAGCAAGTTGTGACAAAGCAGTGTTTTAACTAGCCTTCCCACTCACCCCCCTGGCCCCATAGCCTGGGCTTCATTCTTTTAATTAATACTATAGATTGTTACTCTTCAGATTTCAGGAAAAAAAAAATGGAGTGTGTTTCATTTATACAACGCTTTCTATACCCACCTGACTTAATAATATACATGAATATGCTAATTTCTTCAATGTTACAGGTTTTCAATGCCACACAATATAATCCTCTGAAAATGAAAGGGGTTGGGGAGGGAAGGAGCGCTATTGCCAGGGGGTTGCAGTTTATAATGATTAAAGATCTGTAACCCATAAATTGAAATAAACCAGGTGGACTTTGCATGCAAAATAGCATAAAGTGCTTTTCAACAATATTATGGGCTGGGAGTAAAAATGGGTACTTATCTTATAATTTATTATTGTTTGACTGAAGTACCAGGTTAACTGTCAACCTTTATAAATACAGAGCAGGTGAATTAATAGCTCTATATACTACCTATCTATCAAGTGCCAGTCACTGTGCCAGACACTGTGGATGTATAATTGTGCAGTCTTCACAAAAGTCCAGTAGGCATTGTTCTTTCCAGTATAAAGAAGTCTGGGAGAGGTCAGTATCTGGTGAAGTCAGATCTGACTCCACAGCCTATAAGCTTTTCCTTATACCACATTGTCCCTCTTACACACATCCACTGTGTGCAAGGTTTACATTTACTACTAAACATTTCACTTAATCTTCAAACTACTCCTTGAAACAAGTATTATTATCCCTCTATAAAGATGAGCAAGCAGTGGCACAGAGAAATTGTATAGTTTGGCAAAGGTCACGCAGTAAGTGATGTGACATGATTCAGTCCTAAGAGGGTCTAAATCCGTGCTCTTTTCATACAACACAAAATTGTAGGTAAAAATCATATTTGGAAAAGGAAACAGAACAAGATCAAGTATGCCTAAAGAAAGGGAAATGCTTCTTGGGGTAACAGTTAAAAATGACTATTACCCCATTCATGGAGTGATCCATATGTGGCAGGCAACAGGTGCTTTTCCTGTGTTCATTCCAGTTTTCCCAACAACCCTGAGACAGGCAGTATCATCTCCACTTTATAGATGAGAACAAAACTGAGGCTCAGGAAGTCTCAGTGGATTTCTAAAGGTCACCAAGCTAGAAAGGGCAGAGCCATGTTTCAAAACCAGACCTCCTCAAGCCGAAACGCACACCCTAACCACCACACCAACTTGCCTCTTAACAAACTCAGGGAAAAACAAAACAGCAAACACGAAAGGCAGATGGAAGGGGTTGACCAGCATATCTTGGTTCCTCCACTGGACGGAGGAATGCAGAGCTAATGATGTAAGGGTGGGGTTTGCTCTGAAGACGGTGACATGGCACAGCTCTCCTCACAAACAAAAATACGAGGCCCTTCACTGAGCATTTCAGTAAAAAGCTTAACTGCTGATGAATTACATGAATTTTTCTTTTAGGAGAGGATGGAAGTAAAAAGAAAATAGAAATGAGGAGCTTAAAGAAGGCCAGAAAGCCCATTAGCACTTTTGACAGATCCAAAGATAACTCTGAAGCCACCAAAACGTGGCCTCAAGAGTCTGCCAAGAAGCTTCACGCTGGGGAGAAATATGTTACACAGCTTGCCGTCCAAATAGGGAGACACAGCGTCAGAGACAAATCCTGCGCCTTATTTTGGTGGGAGAAAAAAAAAATCACAAGGATACTTTTGTGGATGGGGAAGGGAACATTTCTGAAATAAAAACACCATTTGATTGAGGCATGTCCCCCATCTCCAATCAGATTCTTAGTGACTCAGGTGCTGGTTCCAAAAACTCTACACAGGTATGTTAAAAATACGTAACATTTAGCCAAATTCTCTCTAAACTGTCATGTACTTTTTTTGGTATTTCTCATCCCATCTGTGCTGATTACCAAGATATTTGTGTCTAAACAGAAGCTGTCTTTCTTATCTGCTTCCTCCCCTGCCTCTTTCCTTCTGGGATGCCACCCGCCTGAGCGGGTGGGAGTGGGTGGGAGTGCCAACAGCCCTGGGAACCTCGCTCAGCCGTGGGAGCACCTGTGGGGCAGAGCGGGGCCCCAAGAGCAGCTGCAGGGAGCACTCACAGTTCCACCAAGCCTCAGCTCAGAAGCAGGCCCCACGGAGTCAGGAACCTCCCTCCCCCAGCCACACCAATCCTCACTCTCTCAGGCCTGCCATGCCTTTTCATACCCACAGGCCTTTACTTCTGCCATGTCCTCTGCCTTGAATGTCCTGCTCTTTCTTGAGGGCACCTGCTTACTTTTCAAGACCCAGCTCTGATGTCACCTCTTCCCAGCAGACTTCCCCAACTCATCATTTGTCAAGCTCCCCCATATACTTCCATTGTCCCCATCTTACAGTAACTCAGTTTTAAGTATGTTTTTGCCACAAGACTGAGGTCCTGTTGGGTGAAGCTACTTCTCCCATTATCCAGCAGTTTGATAAGAGCAAGCTCGGTGCATGGAGAAAGCAATGGCTGAGGGCGCTGGTCCCTTGCTCAGGTGAGAGCAGTGCAGTGAGGAACACACCAGCTGGAAAAGGAACCAGGTGGGACATTAAGAAGAATGTAGCATGTGACTCCAGAAAACCTGGCTCTGAATCAGATGAAGCGACTGATCACTCAGTAATGGTGAAGAACCCACAGAAAAAGAATTGACACTGGAAATGGCACAGAGGCAGGTACGTAGCTGTGGATGGTGGAGGGAGGGAGGGGGTGACTTTTCATGGTATCTGCGGCTGCATTTATTAAAAATATGAATAAATTAGTGGTTTATCAGGTAACTGGGGGGAGGGCTGTACACAGAAGCAGGTGTTCATTTCACAGCCAGGTCAACCATATTTCTCCAATGGATAGATCAGAGGATAGGAGAAGGGAGGGCTTCCATGCTAGGCTGTCTTTGGTCAAGACTATAGCCAGAACATATTATGAGCCTCTGCTGACAAAAGATAAGCCACTCTCCCAGCACTTAGTTTCTGTGGACTAAGTCCTCAACCTCCCATTTCTGTCTCCTATAATCAGGCAATGAACACACACTTACTTTTTTAATTCCTACTATGTGCCTAGCACCCTCCTAGGAGCTAAGCTTGCAGAGATAAACTAACTGTGACCTCCATTTTCCTGCTTCATCTGGGGTGGGAGGAACATCAGACTTAGAAATCTAGTATGCAATGTACTGTGGTCGAGGCTACACTCCAGGTATGGCTGAGAAGCCTCAACGCCCTTGGTGGATTGCAGGGGAAGGCTGGAGAAGGTGTGATGGAGAAGACAACTGGTCTGGGCCTCCAAATGGGTTCACTCAGTGGACAAGGAAAGAAGCATATTCCAGGCAGAGGCAAAGACAGGGTGGGGAGAGGAGCCACAGGCAGGGAGGAGAGTGAGGGGCAGGGCAGGGCAGGGGGGGAGAGCAGTGGGCCGGGGAGCTAGGTTTCTGTCCTGTGGGAGCCTAGGCCTTGCCCCACAGGGGACAGGGCAGTGCTGAAGGATCCTGACATCATCCTATTTGTGTTTCAGAAAGAGCTTCCTAGAGGCTCTGTGGAGAACAGGTAAGAGGGCAAACAGGAGGCAGGACAGTCAACTAAGAGGCTGCTGCCATATTCTGGGAAATAAATGATTAAAATATACATTAAAAAACCAATTCAGACAAAAGCTTTGGGTGATGTGACAGATACCTCTAAAGTAGAATCATAGGATTTGATGAATTAGACTTGGGGAGGGAAGGAGGAAAAAATGTCAGATGACCCCTGGACTTCCAGATTACTATGTGCCACACTTGTCCACTTGTCCAAATAGTTTTTTTAAAGGGAGAGTCCATTCATTTAATAAAGGATAAATCCTCCTTCTAAAGTCCAATAATTCCTGTCAAACATGGTGTCCCTGGCCACCTAGTCCTAGGCCTAGTGTTCTGGGCTGTAATGCTACCATGCCTGGGCCTAAGTGACCACTCTCTTCATTCTCTGCCAATTACTTCTCTGTGTGACTCACCTACTTGGAAAGGAAACCCTTGCTTCGAGGGCTAATTCCCAGTTTCTGTGCTTAAAAGGTCTCAGTTTTCTTAGTGCCAGTATGTTTTCAGGCTTGAGAATATTCCTTTCCCACTCATGGAGCTTAAGCGTTATTTCAGTTACACATATATTTATATCCTCAGGAGCAAGTGCCTCTCCACCTAGCACCTCTTCTGGCCATACTCTCTAGGGCTGGGTAGCACAGCTGCAAAGCTAACCACCACCAAGGTTGGAAAGGGCTCAAATATGAGCAAGGTCTCTGGACAGAGCAGCCTGCAAGTTGCATTTCGGAAGAGGCCTGCAACGCACAAGCTCCTTAGACTCTCTAGACTTCCACTTCTCATCTTTGCAAAGAAACA